GCGGCAAGTTTCTGCACATCACCGATCTTCACCCCGACGACTTTTACAAGGCCCATACGTCGACCGGCGAGGGCTATGCCTGCCACCGTTCTAAGGGCCCGGCCGGCTACTACGGCGCCGAGACGTCGGATTGCGACTCGCCCTTTACTCTCGTCAATGCCACGCTCGAATGGATACGAGAAAACGTCGTCGACGACATTGACTTTGTGATTTGGACCGGCGACACGGCTCGACACGACTCGGACGAGAAGATACCTCGAAACCAACGTCAGGTCCTCGGCACCAACCGCCGCGTCGCCGACCTCTTCTACGAGACCTTCTCCGCCCCTCACAATGGACAGCGTCTGGCCGTGCCCATTGTGCCGAATCTGGGCAACAACGACATCCTGCCGCACAACATCTTGGTCCCTGGCCCCACGCGATGGCTGCAATACTACACCGAGATATGGCGGCACTTTATCCCGGAGGAGCAACGCCACACTTTTGACCTCGGCGGGTGGTTCAACGTCGAAGTTATCCCGAACCGTCTTGCCGTCTTCAGCCTCAACACGCTCTACCTCTTTGATCGAAATGCTGCCGTCGACGGCTGCACCACCCCCTCCGAGCCTGGCTTCATGCAGATGGAGTGGCTGCGCATCCAACTACAGGTCATGCGCGAGCGCGGCATGAAAGTCATCCTCATGGTCACGTCCCTCCCGCTCGCACCAATAGCAAGCAGAACTGGGACGAGACGTGCTGGCAAAAGTACAACCTGTGGCTGCGCCAATACCGCGACGTCATCACCGCCACCCTCTGGGGCCATATGAACATCAACCACTTTATTCTGCAGGATACAAGGGACATCAACCTCGCCTCCATCAACGGCAAGCATGATACCGGCATGATACGTGAGGTGCAAGACCTCCACATGCGGGAGAACTTTGAGGACGACTTCTCTGTGGCCTCGGCGTCTGACTATCTTCGCGAGCTGCGCCGCGGCTGGGCCAAGATTCCCATGGCGGGCGTCAAGTCCCTGATGGAAGACGGCCTGGAAGATACTGCGGAGGACGATGATATGTCTGACGACAGCGCCGAAGACTCGGTCGATGCGGCGAAGAAGCGTAAAGGCAAGAAGGGTAAGGGCCACAAGGGCAAAGGCCATAAGGATATTGGCGGCAAGTTCGCCGAACGCTACCACCTATCTCTGATCAGCCCGAGTATTGTGCCAAACTACTTCCCCACGCTCCGCATCTACGAGTACAACATTGAGGGGCTCGAGAACACCGCTGTCTGGACCGATTCGTTCAGTCAGCAGAAGTGGGATAAGCACGTATCACCTTTGGCGGCTGCGCAAGACGATGAGGCTGAAGGGCCCACGGCGACAATGGCTGACACGACCGACGAGGAGGATGACGAGGACGAAGACGGTTCGGATGACGATAATGTCGACTTTGAGGCATCAAAAGGGAAAAAGCACAAGAAGAAGAAGGGCAAAAAGGGCAAGAAGGGCAAGAAGGGAAAGAAGGGAAAGAAGCCCAAAGACCCGAACCTGGTCATGCCCGAACCCCCGGCCAAGCACGCGCCGCCGGGCCCAGCCTACTCACCTCAGCCCCTGACGCTGTTGGGCTACACGCAGTACTTTGCCAACCTGACGTATCTCAACAACGACATG